CTCCCTGTAACCCCAGCTAGCCTGGATTCGCTATGGAGACTAGGCTGGCCTCGAACTCACAGAGATCTGCCTGCCTCTGCCTCCCGAGTGCTGGGATTAAAGGCATGTGCCACCACACCTGGCCCTTTCTGTTTTATTTATATTTTTATTAGGTTTTTCTTTTTAGGTTAGTTTACAAATCCCAACTGCTGTTGACATTCACTGCTTAACCTTGGGAAATTCGTGCAGCCTCTCTCTACCTCAGCTTCATCATTAAAAGAGACATGAGTATATATCTTCTTTTAAAAATGTTAAGAATCAAGTTGTTTAACAAGGCATAGTGGCACTTAATCTGTCACCCAAGCCTTTTGGAGGTGCAGGGAGGAGATTCCAAAATTCAAGATCACCGTCAGCCTTGTACAGACTCTGAGGACACCCTAGGTGGGGTTGTCTTGGTAAGTGCTAGAATGTATAGGTTTGGAAAGGTTAGTGGAAGGAAAACTCCACCTATGGAGCTGGGAGCACTGCTACTTTGGGGTCCCCCACACTCCTTTAGATAGCCCGTCATCCATGCTCTGTAAGCAAGTCCAATAAAGTCATTTGTTCTTTATGGTGAACTTCGGTGGGAACCGTACTTTGATTTGTTGTTGGGGCCTTATAAGGGGGAAGTAGACATTGTTTATGTCTCCCAAAGGAAGGAATTCTCCCAATGTTCAAAAGGAACATTCTAAAATTTATGTCCAAAGAGATCAGGGAAAGCTAGGCATGGTGCCTTACACAGTAATTCCAGCACTTGGGAAATAGAGGCAGAAGGATCAGAAGTTCAATGCCAGCCTGGGTTACAAGAAACCCTATCACAAAACAAAACAAAATAAAAACAAAAGAGATGGGGGGGTAGAGTAGCAGAGAAACAATTCAAGTTGGTGCAGCAGGCCACCTGAGAGATGATAATGGATTGGATGGGGTGGGACGGGAAGGACTGACACGGTAGGTTGGACATACCACGTTCTGAGTGTTCTTAGTGGTGGTGGTGTATGTATTCTCATGTAGTCCAGGCTGGCCTCAGACTTGCTATTTATTCAAGGTTGGACTTGAGCTCCTGAGCCTCCTGTCACTTCCTGAGTGCTGCTGACATTACAGGCAAGGGCCGCACACTATTCTAGATATATTTTGAAGCTAGAACCAGTTAGACTTGCTGAAGGATTGGCGGGAGAAGAAGAAAAGTAAGGCATTAAGCCCGGCGTGGTGGCGCACAACTTTAATCCCAGCGCTCAGGAGGCAGAGGCAGGTGGATCTCTGTGAGTTCAAGGCCAGCCTGGTCTACATAGCGAACTCTAGATCAGCTGGGGCTGCAGGGAGGCTGTGTCTCAAAAAAAACCAAAAAACCAAAAAAAGGAAAAAACCAACAAGGTGCATGCTGGTCTGCCTAAGATGGAGAAGGCCAGGGACTGGAGGAGGAGGACACCTAAGCGCCTCTCATGACTAGGATAGAACAAATCAGCACCTAAGTCTTCCAAGTTCCCAAGTTCTAGGTCTTCCAGGCTGAGGATAAGCCTTAGAAGATGGAGACCCCACTTACCAACCTTCTTCAACCAGTGTGCAGACTCAAGCCCTCAAGCATGTCTTTCCAACCTCTCTCCCTCTGCCATAATTACATTTGGGGTTGACTCATTCTTATATCATTTAAGATAAGCACTTGACCTCAACCTTACGCTTTGGTCCTCTAGCAAGAAGGTTATTTGGGCCAGGCGTGGTGGCACAGGCCTTTAATCCCAGCACTTGGGAGTAGAGGCAGTTGGATCTCTGTGAGTTCAAGTCCAGCTTGATCTACGTAGCGAATTCCAGGTCAGCTGGGGCTACAGGGAGACCCTGTCTCAAAAAGACCAAAAAAAAGGGGGGGCGGATGAAGAAGGTTGTTTGTACACTTCCTTCTTAAGGTCTTATTTTTTGGTGTGTGTCAAAAAGTCAGTCCTATACTGGGTGTGATGACACACGCCTTTAATCCCAGCACTGGGGCGAGGGGAGAGCAGGGGCAGGCGGATCTCTGTGAGATCGAGGCCAGCCTGGTCTACATAATGAGTTCCCTGTCAAAAACAAAAACAAACAAACCAAAAATTCAGTCCTACCATTCTGAAATTCTGTCCTGGGCACCTCCCCATGCAGCCGCAGACTTTGATGCTGCAAGTACAAAGGGGAATTAGAGAGGCAAACAGCCACTGTGTGAGCAGGCTGATATAGGAAAAGCACAGGTGTAGAGGGAGCCACAGCACCTCCAGGCAAGGCTTCCTGGAGAAGGGGCTGCCTGGCAGAGCTGCCTTCCCTGCACAGGCTGAAGTGCTCCTGGACTCTGCCATGCTTCTGGCCTTGTTGACTGTCTTGGGGTTTGGGGATTGAAGCCAGTCTTTCCCTGGCTCCAACGAACATTTCAGAAACATTTATCAATAAAACCCAAGGGTATTTCACTCCTTCCACATTGGACAAGTGGAGCTCAGTCTTTGGGGAAATGACTGCAGGTCTGTGCATGTTCTCTTTGCCTCTTGTGAGAATAAGAGTATGAGTCCAAGCCAGCCTAGGCTGGGAGGTGGGCCCAGGAGCTAGCAGTCAGGCACTTTGCCATACGGGGTTCACTGGAAGGTCAGTCGTGAAAAGGGAGACTACCCACCTGTCCTTAGAAATGACTGAGCCTTGTGAACAGGTTCCCCCACAGCAAGTCAAAGGGCTTCATAGCTCCCACTCTTCAGTAAACACTTTTCCTGTCTTTGCCCCTGTATTCCTATCATCACCACCCTGGTGCTGCCGCCCCACTTTGCACCATGATTGCAATAGCCTCTTAGATGCCTTCCTTTCTCTAGACTCAAATTTAGTCAGTCTCACAATCTATGTTTCCTTTTTTTCTTTTTCTTTCTTAGGACTTTGAGACAGGGTTTTACTTGTAGCCCAGGCTAGCCTGGAACTCTATATAGCTCAGGCTGGCCTCCAACTCATAGGTAGCCTCTAACCTCCCGAGAGCTGGATTGGGATTACAGATCTCTGAACCACCTGTTTTTTGTTTTGTTGTTGTTGTTTGTTAGGTTTTTTATTTTTTGAGATAGGGTCTCCCTGTAGCTTCAGGTAGCCTTGAACTCTCTACGTATTCACCAGGCTGGCCTCAATCTTATGGAGGCCTGTCTCTGCTTCCTGAGTGCTGGGATTAAAGACATGCACCACCACGCCTAGCTCTTTTTTTTTAATAGGGTCTTGCTATGAAGCCTTAGATGACTTGGTGATCTAATTACTTTCTATAGCTGTGATAAAAACACTGACCAAAACCAACTTGGGGAGGAAACAGTTTATTTCACTTTCCACTTAAAGTTCATCATGAAACCAGGGCAGGAGCTCAAGGCCGGAACTGAAGTACAGATCAAGGAGGTACTCTGCTAGCTGGCTTGCTCTCTAACCCGTGTTCAGTTTGTATTCTTATTCAACTCAGGACTACTTGCCAAGGGGTGGCACCACCCACAGTGGACTGGGCCCTCTCACATTACTCAACAATCAACAAAATGTCCCAAGGACATGGCCACAGGCCAGTCCAATGGAGGAAATTCCTCAAATGAGGTTCCCGCTACCCAGGTGTGTCAAGGTGACACTAAAGCTGACCAGCACACTTGGTATTCCATATGTAGCCCAGGCTGGTCTCAAACTCATGGCAGTTCTCCTGCTTTATCTTCTCTAGTACTGGGATTATGGACATGAGCCACCACAGCTAGCTCACAATCCATCTCCACATGTGTACTGCGATGCTTTTTCCAAGACACAGGCCAGATCTTATTTTTCTTTGCTTACCACCCTCACTAGCTCTCCACAGCTTTCAGCAAAGGCCAGGCTACTCAGCCGCCTGATCTAGCTGTCTCTCCTCACTCTCAAACTTAACTTTTCCAACCTCACCTCACACTCGCCAGCTTCCCTACAGCCACTGTAGGTGTTATCACTCTTGGTCCTAATAAATTTATTCATGCTTCAAAGCATTGTTTAGGTTCCGCTTTTCCCTGAAGCCTTCCTGCCCTCTCTCCTGGCTGGATTTATTCACGCCTTCCCCTGCACTACCTCTGTACCTCTGTACCTCAATATGATGTTATCACAGATTGGGAAATTGAGTCTCAGAAATTGGAAAGGGCTTATCTACTTTTTCAAGGTGGAATATGAACTCAAATCCCCAAAGTCCTAATTCTTAGGCAAGTTATTTATTCATTGTAGTCTTAAAGAAGTGATTAGATTTTACATATTCACACACCCAAACACACACAGGCTCACAGAGCTGAAATAGTGCCACTGAACCTATCTTAAGTAAATAAGCCCCCTGCTGGGGATGGGGCTCCCTTGGGAGCTTGCTTAGCATGCCTTAAGCTGTGAGCTGGATCCTCAGCACTGCAGATCAACTAGGCGTGGTGACCAATACCTGTAACCCCAGCACCCAGAAGGCAGAGTCAGAAGGATTAGAAGTACAAGGTCATCTTCAGTCACATAGGGAGTTCGAGGCCACCCTGAGCTGCACAAGACCCTGTCTCAAAAACGAACAAAGAAAACCTTTATCTCAAGTAAGTAGACCTGCAATAGTTCCCTGGTGTTCTTGAGACGTCTTAAGCAGTGAATGAAGTGAGCACCAAGATCCTCTGAGTGCTGAGGTTTTATGGAGCCCAGAAAGGCTTGCTGTCCCATCCAGCCCTGGTACTTGCTCTCCAGGGTTCATGCATTTGTGTTTTCAGAATGAGGAGATGTCTGTACAGAGCACTGAGCATACTTACTAGGTACTAAAGCAAAGCTTTGCACTCTGTCTTTTTTAACTCTCAGAATAATTTTGCAAGATCTGTATTGGCTTCCTTTACTAGAGAAGAAATCCAAGCACAGATGCAGGGCCACAGCTAGGCATTTGAACTGCAACCCTTCTAGTTCTAAACAAGGTTTCAAAGGGGAAAGTCAGCCTGACTTCCTATAGAGCTGGTGACTGGGGAGGAGTAGGTGGACTCTGAATGGGGACAGCTTACCCCCATCTTCGAACTCTTCCCGAAAGTACACCCTGCGCTTTGCTTGTGCTCCCAGGGTGTAGGTGGTCAGTAGTAGCAGAGGCAGCAGCAGGCCCTTCATCTTGTGGAGTCCACAGTCTTGGAGTGCAGTCTCAGATAGCTGCTTAGCCTGGCCAGGTGTGTGGCTGCTGCTGTCTATTACCTTGACCCTGAGGCTCAGGCTGCAATCACCTGCTACCTGCATCTGGCTGCTTCCCATTCGTGGCCTGGATGGGGACAGGTGAGTGCTGCAGCCAATGGTTGGGGACCACGTGCTGAGGGTGTTGGAGAAACTAATGATGGTGGTGGTGGTGGTGTGTGTATGTGTGTGTGTGTGTGTGTGTGTGTGTGTGGTGAGGGTATCAACTAAGTGTCAAGGGAGCTACAGAACAGTGTTCCCCAGGGTGTGGGGAGTGGTAGGACCAGCTGAGACTGGCCGCTGGGGAGTCCTGTGAGCCTGCTCAACTTTGCAGTAGTTGGATTCAAAGGACTCTCACAAGATTTCTTCCATTATTCTTCCATCCATCCATCCATCTATCCATCTATCCATCCATCCATCCACCTACCCATCCATCCATTGAGCCTGTGAAGAAACCATTTATTTGATTGAACAGAAACATTCAAGGCCCAAGGGTACCCACAGGAAGTACTAACCCAGGATGGGATCTCAGGGAAAGCTTCCTGCAGGAGGTGACCTTGGGGAGCTAGGTGGATGGGGGGCAGTGATGACAGGCAAGAACAGGGGCAAAGGGAGGGAAAGACATGTGAATTAATCTTGCTTCTATACACTGTTGCTGTGCAGCCACTATTCCATTATAAGAAAAACAAGGCTGAAGGAAGGAAAAGGTAACAACATTTGTTGACCATTGTTGGTGTGCTGAGTGATGGAATCAAATTAAAGCACCCCCAGATCAAAGTGGATTCAAACCAAGTCCCCCAGGCAAAACAAAGTACAAGGAAGTAAAATAAAAAATAATTCTAACTGCTGAGAAAGAACTAACTTTTTCATGCTCCTTGCACAAGCTGAAAATTACCCGAAACTTCCCCCTCCCACTGCTGCCGGTTTTGGTTTGTGGTTTTTGCCTTTAAAAGAAGCCTGTAAGCTGAGCTCTGGGCTGCTGCTGCTCTCCCTCTCTCTGAGTGAGGCAGGCGCGCCCGTCTGCGCAAACAATTAAATCCTCTTGCTTGTTGCATCTCCTGGTCTTGGGACTGAGTCATTGGGGTGCAACCCTCTGTGGACGTTTGGTACCCCAGACCGGGGGTCCAACATTTGGGGGCTCATCTGGGATTTGGTTGCCCCCAGACCCATTTCCTCAGATCAGCAGGAAGTAAGGACGTCTTGTGATTTGTCTTGGTCTGAATGTCTGTCAGTTGTTTCTGTTCTGGGAACGTTCCATCTGAACATTTGTGCCTATGCAGGACCTGTAAGTCTGTATTCTGGAAACCAGTGGGAGTGGCAGATGTGCCCAGAGGCCCCTGGTTCTAACACTCTGGCCTTAGGGACCAGAGTGGTTTGGAGTGGGGAAGACAGCGTAGCTTTCCTTCACCCGGGAGAAGAAGGGAGTTTGGCTTGGCTACTCCCTCCCCTCCCACTCTGTACTTTCAGTTCTTGAGCTAAGGAGTGTGCGCCAAGAAATTCTCTGTTCTGTGTATTGTCTGTGTCTGTGTTCAGGGATCCCAAAAGTGAGAATGGTGGGTGCAGCGTGTGTCTGAATGAAAGAAGGACCGGTCCACACGAATGTGATTTAATATGGTATGTATGCTTGATAGTTGTGTTAGTTACATAGAGGAAGTTCTGGTCTTGTAATTTTCTCAATACTCTGTATTGTAAACTTTCCTTTCCTCCTTCCTTTTATTCTCGGTCTGAGTCTTCACGTGGGACCGTTAAAGGCAAAAGAGCAATTGAGGTTTTCTGGTCAGAGCTACTCCCTGATGTAAGCCAAAGGCTCTTAGCCCTCTTAGCAGACCCCGACTGCCCGCACAGGTGGAGACAAGGTGGCTTTTCTGTATCTCCCTCTCATCTCTGTTTCTCTCTCTCTCTGGCCACTGAAACAGCCCCACGGGCACGGGTCGAGCAAATAAGAGCCATAGGGCGCTTGCCACTAAAAGACTCCCATGAAAGGATAAGGGGGCTCTTTCCTTCTTACTCTCCCCCTCTCCTGTCTGTGACCTCCACTATGGGTAAATCGCTAACTACCCCTTTAAGCTTAACTCTGGAACACTGGAAGGAGGTTATGGAACGGGCCCATAACTTATCACTGGAGGTCCAAAAGAAGAAGTGGCAGAGTCTCTGTTCCTCTGCATGGCCCTCTTTTGAGAAAGGATGGCCAAGGGATGGGACTTTTGACCTTGCTACTATCTTGCAGGTTAAGGAATACATTTTCCACCCAGGACCACATGGACATCTGGACCAGGTGGCCTACATAGTCACCTGGGAAGATTTGGCCCAGAACCCCACATCCTGGGCACGGCCGTTCTTACCTCCTAGGGGAACTGGAGAGACTGATCAAGGGCCCCCTACCCCTTCTGCTCCCCTGAGTCTCACTTCCTTCCTCCTGCCCCTTCAGTCTTCCCCTGAGAAGAAGCAAAAGCCAGTCCTCCCTGAGGACCAAGCCTCCCTAGCCCTCCTTGATCCTCCACCTCCCTATCCACCTGCGCAGGCACCCCACCCCAGGAACTACCTCCACCCCAAGGACTACCTCATCCCTCTCCTGATTCCACCGAACCTGACCAATCTCCCCCTCCATCTAGCAGACTTCGCCTGAGAAGAGATAGAGGGGGTCCTTCTGGTGGAACCTGGACTGCCCAGGTTTTTCCCCTCTGAACTGTAGGGGATCAGATCCAATACTGGCCTTTCTCAGCCTCAGATTTGTATAATTGGAAGACTCATAACCCTTCTTTTTCTCAGGACCCTCAGGCTTTAACTGCTTTAATTGAGTCTATTCTTCTTACCCACCAACCCACTTGGGAAGATTGCCAACAACTTCTCCAGGCACTCCTAACCACAGAGGAGAGACAGCGAGTCATCCTGGAAACCCGGAAAAACGTCCCCGGGCAGGATGGGAGACCTACTATGCTCCCAAATAAAATAGACGCAAGATTCCCTCTGACTAGACCCAACTGGGATCCTGAAACCTTGGCAGGTAGGGAGCGTCTCCGTCTTTATCGCCAGACTCTGTTAGCGGGTCTCAAAGGGGCCGGAAGGTGCCCGACCAATTTGGCAAAGGTACGTGCTATAACCCAAGGAAAAAATGAAACCCCCGCAGGGTTTCTAGAATGCTTGATAGAGGGATATCGGATGTACACCCCTTTTGATCCCACAGCCCAGGAGCGTCAGGCAGATCTTGTTATGGCCTTTATAGGGCAATCAGCTCCTGACATTCGTGGTAAGCTCCAATGGCTGGAGGGCCTACAGGGGTACTCCTTACAGGATTTAGTAAGAGAAGCTGAAAGAATCTATAATAAGCGAGAAACTTTAGAAGAAAGAGAGGACAGAATCAGAAAAGAGCAGGAAGCTAGAGAAGATAAGAGAGAGAAAAAGAGAAATAAAGAATTAAGTCAAATTTTGGCCACAGTAGTTCAGGGAACAGGACCAGGACCAGGTAGGAACCTGGGAGACAAGAGAAGGCCCTGAGTAGATAAAAGACCAGTGTGCCTATTGCAAGGAGAGAGGACATTGGGCTCAAGAATGTCCAAAGTAGCTGAACAGACTTCAAAAGAAAACAACCCCAGTTTTGACTCTAGGGGACTAGGGGAGTCGGGGCCAGGAGCTCCCCCCTGAGCCCAGGGTAACCTTGAAGATAGGGGGGCAATTGACTACCTTCATGGTAGACACAGGAGCTCAGCACTCGGTCCTAACAACAACTGAGGGACCTATGAGTTCCAAGACAGCCTGGGTCCAAGGGGCCACCGGAGGAAAAACATACAGATGGGCCACAGAAAGAAAAGTGGAGCCTATATCCATTTCACTACAAAGGGAGCTACTGTAAAAGGAAAAGATGGAGCTCCATTACAGGTGTTAACCCTGCAGCTGGAAGATAAACATCAGTTATATGAGGGACTGGTAACAAAAACTCCTGGTATATCTGATTGGCTAAGTAAAATCCCCTCAGCATGCGCCAAGACAGGAGGCCCAGGACTAGCATATAACCAGCCTCCAATAGTGGTCACATTAAAACCATCTGCAACTCCAGTTTCAATTAAACAATACCCTATGAGCAAAGAGGCCCGAGAGGAAATTAGAGCCCACATCCAAAGACTTTTACAAATGGGCATACTTCACCCTTGCCAATCCCCTTGGAACACCCCGCTGCTCCCCGTAAAAAAGCCAGGGACAGATGATTATCGACCAGTTCAAGACTTAAGAGAAGTCAATCGGAGGATAGAAGATATCCATCCCACTGTTCCTAATCCCTATAATCTCCTGAGTTCTTTACCTCCCAGTCACAGGTGGTATACTGTACTTGACCTGAAGGATGCATTCTTCTGTCTAAGGCTGAGCCTGGTTACCCAGCCCATCTTCACTTTTGAATGGAAAGACCCTGAAGCTGGAATATCGGGACAACTAACCTGGACGCGACTTCCCCAAGGATTAAAAAACTCCCCTACTTTGTTTGATAAAGCTCTACATTGTGACCTGGCTGACTTTCGGGTAAGAAACCCACAGATTATGCTCCTCCAGTATGTAGATGACCTCCTCTTAGCTGCTGAGATGGAAGCAAGCTGTTTTCAAGGTACGGAGGCTCTCCTATTGAGACTGGGGGAACTTGGATACCGAGCCTCAACAAAGAAGGCCCAAATCTGCCTACAGCAGGTAAACTACTTGGGCTACCAGCTAGAGGGAGGACAACGATGGTTAACAAAAAGTGAAAAACAAGCGGTAGCCTCTATTCCCCCACCAACTTCAGCCAGAGGACTCAGAGAGTTCTTGGGAAGCGCAGGATTCTGTAGACTATGGATACCGGACTTCGCCAAGATAGCGGCTCCTCTACACCCTTTAACAAAAAATGGGACCCCTTTGGCCTGGACAGAAGAACACCAGAGAGTTTTTGACAAAATAAAAAGAGCACTGCTGATGGCTCCAGTGCTAGGATTGCCAGATTTGACAAAACCTTTCATCCTATATGTGGATGAAAACAAAGGGATGGCAAAAGGAGTTCTTACTCAGACTTTACGACCCTGGAAAAGGCCAGTGCTTATCTCTCAAAAAGACTGGACAATGTAGCCGCTGGCTGGCCCCCATGCTTGAGAATCATGGGGGCAATAGCATCCCTGGTAAAAGACTCAGACAAACTCACCATGGGCCAGCCCTTGACTATTATAACACCACATGCGGTGGAGTCTATCATTAGACAGCCCCCTGACAGATGGCTGTCAAATGCCAGGGTAACTCATTACCAGGCACTACTATTGAATCCAGAAAAGATCAAGTTTGGTAGCCCTGCTACCTTAAACCCTGCCACACTGCTACCAACCCCCGAGAAAGACACTGAGATTCCCCATGATTGTCAGCAAATACTTGTGGAGATGCATGGGACGAGGGAAGACCTCACTGACCAGCCCCTAACAGATGCAGATGCCACCTGGTATACGGACGGGAGCAGTTTTCTGCGAGACGGTGAGTATAAGGCGGGGGCGGCAGTGGTTGATGGAGAGAAGATAATTTGGGCCCAAGCACTGCCAGCCGGAACATCGGCCCAGCGGGCTGAATTGGAAGCCCTGATTCAGGCCCTAAAGTTAGCAAAGGGCAAAAAGGTCAACATTTACACTGACAGCCACTATGCGTTCGCCACGGCTCACGTACATGGAGAAATTTACCGGAGGCGGGGCCTCCTCACCTCAGCTGGTAAGGACATTAAGAACAAAGAAACAATAGTGGCCCTTCTACAAGCCTTGTACTTGCTTAAAAAGGTCAGCATTATCCATTGCCCTGGACATCAGCGAGACCAGGGGCCAATTGCTCGGGGCAATTGGATGGCAGATAAAACTGCCCGTCAGGCAGCAGAAGGCACCTGCATTCTCTACACACACGCAGACCTTAAGGCTGAAATTGAGGCATAAACAAAGGAGGGAGATGCTCTTTTTACCTACCCTGAACAGGATCTGGAACTCGTTTGGAAGCTCAACGCTACCCTGGACCCAGAATCTAAAATGTGGAAATACCAGGGTAGGATAGTGCTTCCTCAAAAGGCAGCCTTTGAGCTAATCTCCCAACTCCACCAGTGGACGCACTTAGGACACAAGAAACTAAAAACACTATTGAAAAAAGAAAAAAAAAAAAAACAATTCTATTACTTCCCGGACCTTAACCAGCTAGTCCCAGAAAGTAGTGGGAGAGTGTGTGCATGTTCCCTGGTAAATGTTTCCAGATCAAAGGTCCCATCTGGCATGAGAGAGAGAGGGATACGACCAGGGACTAACTGGGAAGTAGATTTTACTGAGGTCCTCCCAGAAAAATATGGTTATAAATATCTTTTAGTGTTTATAGACACTTTCTCAGGGTGGGTTAAAGCTTTCCCCACCCGGAAGGAAACAGCCCAGACGGTGGTGAAGAAACTGATCGAAGACATTTTCCCTCGATTTGGACTGCCTAAGGTAATTGGGTCTGATAATGGCCCAGCCTTCGTCTCCCAGGTAAGTCAGGGAATGGCCAAAGCACTAAAGATTAATTAAAAATTACATTGTGCTTCCTTTTTGGAGGACTACCTCCTGTTCTCAATGTAACTTTGTCCCCCTTGCCCTCTTCCTTTGATAACCCCAGCTTAAAAACAAGACTCCAAGCCCTTCTGATCATCTAGAACCAGGTTTGGAAGCCCTTGGCTGCTGTCTACCAGCCTGGAAGCCCACAGATGCCCCACTCCTACCAGATTGGAGATCAGGTGTACGTGAGAAGACACAATGTAAAGACTCTTGAACCACGATGGAAAGGACCCTACACAGTTCTCCTGACTACGCCTACAGCCCTCAAAGTAGACGGGATTTCAGCTTGTATCCATGCTTCACACACCAAAAGAGCCCCGACCCAGGGCGACGCTGGAAAATGACATCTACACAAAATATCCAACACCTCCCCCTGGGCTCTGAAGGTCCTGAGCACATAAACCACTCCAGCTGGGAATTAGTCGCCATCATCATCATCTCTGCAGCCTTGATCATCCTTGTTGCCATCATCACATTGGTACTCATTGACCTTGCTTAAAAGCTGTAACACAACTTCTCACGATGTGGCTGACTCTACTCCTCGAAGAGATCTGCTTGCTCCTGACAGCAAAATGCCTGCTGGTGATACAGTCCTCATGTGCCTATGCAGCTGACATAAATGGTGACAAATCCTGAAACAGGCCATACACTTCGGCTCACTAACTCCACAAGACCAATGGGTAATATCGATAATTTAGGCCTTGGTCCTCACCCAACAATACCATGCTTCAAAGAACAAGAAGATCTATAGATTTTATGATTAAAATCCTGCCATAAGAAAAGGGGGGAATGATGGAATCAAATTAATGCCCCCCCAGATCAAAGTGGATTCAAACCAAGTCCCCCAGGCAAAACAAAGTACAAGGAAGTAAAATAAAAAATAATTCTAATTGCTGAGAAAGAACTAACTTTTTCATGCTCCTTGCACAAGCTGAAAATTACCCGAAACTTCCCCCTCCCACTGCTGCTGGCCCCCTCCCACTGCTGCCGGTTTTGGTTTGTGGTTTTTACCTTTAAAAGAAGCCTGTAAGCTGAGCTCTGGGCTGCTGCTGCTCTCCCTCTCTCTGAGTGAGGCAGGAGTGCCCGTCTGCGCAAACGATTAAATCCTCTTGCTTGTTGCATCTCCTGGTCTTGGGACTGAGTCATTGGGGTACGACCCTCCATGGACCTTGGGTACCCCAGACCGGGGGCCCAACACTGAGCACTACACCAGACCCTTAACACGCAAGGCATCATCCAACCTTCAGACGACGTATGAGCAAGGGTGTTATTCTGCCCCCTCTACAGGTGGAGACAGAAAATCATAAAGAAATTAAAACTAATGAGACATACTTTAAAAAAGTAAAACAAGATCCAGACTTAGAGGGTTAGAGGAAGTTGGGAGAGGGGAAGGGGTTTAGGAAGTCCTGTTGACGGGGACACTTTGATTTAGCTCTGGATGGACCAGAGTGTGATATTTTGTTTACATCATCTCATATAGTCTTTAAAACAGCAATAACTTCCGATGTCTCTTGTAGAAAAGGAACTGAGCTGGCACGGTGTGGTACATGCCTTTAATCCCAGCCCTCAGGAGGCAGAGGTAGGTGGATCTCTATGAGTTCAAGGCCAGCTTAGTCTACAGAGCAAGTTCCAGGCCAGCTGTGGCTACAGGGCAAGCCTGTCTCAAAAACACCAAAAAAAACCAAAACAAAACAAAACAAAAAACAAGATAATTCCCAGGTGCAGTGGTACACACCTTTTATCCTTTAATCCTGGCAGTTCTTCTGTGAGTTCAAGACCAGCCTGGTCTACATAGCCAGTTCCAGGCCAACTTGGGCTACCAGGAGACCCTGTCTCAAAAAGACCTAAAAAAAGAAAAGAAAGAAAAGGAACTGAGTCTTAGAGATGGTAGGTAACTTACTTTTCCAGAGATATGTAAGAGATGAGTAGTCAAGCCTGGATACACAGCCAGATCTGCCTGACTTCAGAGCCCAAGTGGTTAATCATTCTTATATTTTGTCACAGTCTGATAAAGCTCGAACATTTGGTTCCTGGGAAGATGGAAGATGTGGAGAATAAGGCTGGAACAAGGCCAAACTGGTCCAGGCCTGGAATGGATGTTTCTGGATTTAGTTCCTCAAGCCAGAGTTTTTCGATCTGCATTACTGACATTTTAGGCCAGACAGTTTTCTTTGTTGTGGGGGACTGTCCTCGGAACTGTTGGATGTTTAGCAGTTCTTCTCAACAGGTGACAATGTTACCGGAGGGCTCAGAGTTTGAAAAGAGGGTGACAAGATGAGCATAATTCATGCTTTCTAACAATAATAGTGTTCTTCTCTTGTAATGACCATTGTAATGCTCATAATAAGAAACTATTGGGTTTCAATTCTGGTTAAGTTCAACTCACTGGATGGCTTTGGTAACAGTCCTGTTCCTTTTCTGCAGGACGATAAGGTTGGCCATGTGCCCCTCAAGATGATGGCTGCTTGCTGGGCTTCTGTGCTTTCATTTTCAGCCCCTAGCACAATCAATGTTAACTGAATGGGTGGATCCTATAATTTATAGAATATATACAATTATATCTCCTTTCTTTCTTTCTTTCTTTCTTTCTTTCTTTCTTTCTTTCTTTCTTTCTTTCTTTTTTTTTTTCATACAGGGTCTGGAACTTGCTCTGTAAATCAGGCTGGCCTTGAACTCCCAGAGACCCACTCGCCTCTGCCTCCTGAGCGCTGGGACTAAAGGCATGTGCCACCACGCCTTGCTCCGCCTCTTTTCTGATAGGGTCTCTTGTAGCCCAGGCAGACCTCAAACTCATTATGTAACTGAAGTTGGCCTTGAACTCCTGATCCTTTGCCTCCATCTCTGGAGTGCTGGAATCATACACCTAGTTCTTGTTGTATTTTCCATATGGAAAAAAATTCATGCGGAAATCCGTGCAAACAGCATCCATGAAGTTTTCCTCAATCACTCAGAATATACTTTGTTTACATGACTACTTTGCACAGCTGAAATGACCAGGCAGCTCCATAAAGCACCTTCTGTACACATATTAGTCCCATCCTTGAGGGAAAGCCTTGGTGGTCTAACCCCTCAAAGGCTCCCCCTCTCAGCTTCTAACACAGGAGATTTTGGAGGGATGCATGCATTCAAAGCAGAGCATCACTGTATAAGGCACTTTGGACTGACTCAATACAATTTAATTCAGTATCCTCTGAGCTACCCTCTATGAATCAGGTACTAAGTGGAAATTAAAGGCACTGTTTCCAGCCTCTAGATGCATCTAAACAAAAGGGATGTCAGTCTCATGGGACCTCCCCTACCTTGTTCTTTCTGTCTCCTGTTTTTGTTTATGAGATGGGGTCTTGCTTATGTAGGCCAGACTGGCTCAGAATTCATGATCGTCCTGCCTCTGCCCATCCCTTCAAGAGATGGCATTACATGAGTGAATTGAGTCATGCCCAACTGTTGTCTTTTTGAGACAGGGTCTCCCTGTAGCCCCAGCTGGCCTGAAACTCACTATGTAGACCAGGCTGGCCTTGAATTCAACAAAGAGCTCCCTGCCTCTGCCTTCCGAGTGCTGGGGTTAAGGCGTGCATCACCATGCCCAAGTGTTTGTCTTTTATTAACAATGTTATCTTGAGTCAGGCAAGGTAGGCTGAGGCAGGTGGATGTACATGCACCCTCACAAAAATGTGAACTCCCCCCAACAAACATGCACACATACCCACAAAGATGATTGTATCAACATGAAGGTAAATATAATGCAGAGTAGATGCATTATAGATATTCATTTTCTTCTTCTTTAAAAGAAATTAAAATGAAAACATTTTCTTTGTTCCCTCTGAGTACATTTGGCAACGAGCCTTGGGACTGTCATCTCTGGGGCTAATTACTGATGTCACCCAGTTCTCATTTCCTTCTCTTTAAAATTTGAGCTTTGAATAGTGGTGGAAGTTTGACTTGAGGCACTTAGAAACTGCCTGAGACCAGAGACCAACACTGCTTGTTTCTTCACTCTAAGCTAAAGCACTTGGTGTAGATTAAGCATTCAATAAGATGATATCCAGACATAGTATACACTTGGTAAATATCCTACTTATTTCATCAGACCACCTATGGAGTAGTTCTGGACATGCACAATAGATACTTAAAAATCGAAATAGGACTGGAGAGATGGCTCAGTGGTTATAGCACTTACCGCCCTTCCAGAGGGCCTGGGTTTGGTTCCCAGCACCCACATGGTAGCTAACAACCATGCTTAACTCCAGTTCCAGGGGATCCAATGCCCACTTCTGGGCTCCTCAGGCACCAGATGCACACACAGTGCATTTCATGCATGCAGGCAAAACATACACATAAAAATAAATAAAATATTTTTAAAA